ATTATATTTATTATTTAGTATTTTTTTTGTACTTCCTGAAGAAGGTGCTCCTTGTGTAGAGATTTAGAGTACATTGGGTGCAGAGTGGTGGTTGGAGGTTAGGGTCAACTTTGCTGTCCGCTCCGTGGATTTTACAGGCGATTTGCTCTTTGCTTTAAGAAGAGAAAGTGATATTGGAAAAAGTCAGCACTTTTAGATTAAAGCAAAGCACCCTTCACAAAGCCACAAACAAGAAGCAGGACAGAAAGTCCATGGCTTGTAGCTATCCTCGCACCTGCGGAAGAAGTTATAAGATATTCGCTCATCTTGCAGATTTCCAATGCTCCTTATAAGGCTGTTTTAAACATATACATTTATATATTTAATTAGCTCGCCAGGTTGGCTCTGGTGCCCATGAATGTCTTGGCATGCACTGCAAATAACAACACATACAAAGTATTTCAGTCCCAGAGAGTTTGGTTTTGTTTTGTTTTGTTTTGCTTTGCTTTTGTTTGTCTTTTTAAACAACATTTACCAGTGAAACCATATACCAAGAGAAATAGACCCAAACACCTTCCACCTCACAGAGTTCTTTACAAAATCATTTCGAGCATCACATCATTGGCTGCTAACAAAAATTGTCTAGGGGCTACAGAGTGTTTTCTTGTAAAACAGAGGAGATATACTGTCAAATGGCTGTGCTATTTACAAAGGGGGAAACAATGCTAAAATATTTGAACTATTTATTTGTGAGAATGTTTTTCTTTTTAGAAAGCTATGAAAACCACAGTACATATCATTATTTCTGAAAACATGATGTTATATTTTAAGTACGTTATAGGAGTGAAAACATTCAGAACTTGGTTCACACACCAAGGACATGAGTATTTTGATGTCTTACATACCAAGTCTCAGTGCTTTATAACTTCCTATATCATAAAGAATTACACTCAGAATTAGTGACATATTACTTGAGGTGAAAAACATAAAATTGTTTTGGTTACACTATAAATAAAAGTTTCAGTTATAACAGGTTAATGCATGATTAATAGATTCTGTAGCTGTGTTGAATATTTAACAAGGATGATTATTATGGTTACAGGCATCAATTCTATAACAAAGTAATAATGGTGCATAAGCAGTCCACAATAACATTGGACTTTTAATAACTGGTTATATTTTTAAAAAATCTATTAATCATGTATAAGCTATTGTTGTAAAGAATTTAATATTAAACTGAATGCTGAATTATTGCATCCCCCAAAAGCAGATTTAACTTGTCATCAAGAATGTACACAAGAAAAGCAAGAACTCAAGGCAAATTCTCAATTTTTGAAGTTTTCAGATATTTATCTGTGAAACATTTCTCTATATCTGCTAACTATTTTCATTAGCGTACCAAGAAGTATTTCTGTTCTTGCCTTCAGTAGTTTTTTCCCTTTAAAAATGGGGGTTAAACTAAACCCCAGATCTCTGCAACCTGCTTCCTTTTTAAAATACATGGTGTGAGATGTTACATATATAGTAGTTGTCAGACTCAGAATGCTGTCACATACACAAGAGCTTCTAAGTAACAGGGGTATTTCTGTTATCTATGTGTGAACTGATGAATATTATCTTTTAAATGGAAACATGTCTCAAAGACATTACTAAGATTTTAAAAGATGTCCAAGGGAATGCTAAGCTTAATTCCTGGTGAATATAGACAGGAGTGGGAAGCCTACTTTTCTCTTGCCCATCTTATAAATGTTAGCCGAGCTGTAATCCGCTGCAGCACTTTCTTGGGCCTCTTAGAACACTTGTTTTGTCTTAGTAACAAGCAAACACACAAGGAAATTCACTGTAACTTCTTCCTGTGGATTGTTCTCATACAGATAGCATTTACAGGCTTGTGCCCAATGATCAAGTTCAATTTCTGGTTTTAGTTTTATTGCAGCATGGCTTTGTTCTCTCTCTTTTTTTTAAAACATACTTTTATAAAGTAATTTCTTTCCATAATTAGGTTAGCAGAACTTAGTTAGAACCTTTGTTAGTGTTAGATCATTCATAGAATGATAGACTCATAGAATCACAGAAACAATTAGGTTGGAAAAGACATTCAAGATTATCAAGTCCAATCATAGAATAAAATATTAAATTATTTTCATTCATTTTATTCCATTTAAATATCATTTTGGTTGAACTAGAGAAATATACTGCTCAAGACAATTCTAAAGAGGTCTTTGGAGATATATTTCTGCTGCACAAAATATGTAGAATGCAAATAAGGATAAATACTCAGAAGTCTCATGGATATTTTTTAAAAGAGCATTTTAACGATTAATGGTTTTATAATTTGAGAATTTGGAAGTTGTGATGTGTGAAAGAGAAACAGTATGACATAAAATAGGTTTGATTTAAACTATTTTACAGTAGGAAAAGCAGCACCATAATATTTACAGGCAAAGAATTCTTTGCATTTTGCTTTGTTTTTTCATTATGACAATCTCTAAATTAGGGTCATATATTGCATATACATGATAAACATTTAATTTATAATTTTCAGTCTTTGTATAAATTACAACCTCCCTCCGAATCATACCACACGATCTACATGCATATTCTTCCGTAAATGAAAAGTTTTGGGTTTTTTAGCTTTTCAGAGTTTTAGGTTGGAGTACATGCAGTAAGTACAAGATAAAGCAATAGTTAACACATAAGAAAAATTTTAAAGAAAATACAAATAAACCAATTTCTGCTCCTAGGTGAAGAAAGGGGCTGTTAGGATTACTGGAAGTCACTGACATAAACAGTGACCTCTGCATGGTTTCAGGGACAGGTTAGTATAGCCTAATATTATCTCACATCTGTATTTACTGGCTTAATAGTTCCCAAAATGCTATCTAATCCAAAGTGATACTTCCTCAGTAATATATAGTCCCCAATAAAATTTACATGCAATATATAGTGACATATATGACTTCAGGGGCACTCATCTTTTCAGTGATTCATTATGAAACTTATATAGAGTTTAAATATACACAGGGTTTTTTTTGTGTGGGTTTTTTTTTTTTTTTTGGTTGGTTGGTTTTTTTTCTGGAGTTGTGTAAAAGAACTGTGTTTGTTCTCTCATTAATTCAAGTATTTCTTTGGATTTTGGAAGGGTGAAAGCTGCGAATATAGAATAATAACATAGCAAACCTGAAAGAAGCCTTTTTAGATTTTATTCCTTTTTCTATTCTGTCATAATTGTTTATATTCTATTATTTTGATTTTTATCTTGATAAAAGATAAGCAAACAGAAATTTCCATTTTGACTGCAAATCTAAAAGACATAGCGTGTTTAAATCAGAGATTGAATTCCACTGCTCTTAGACTAAAATCAAAGTACAGATCAGAATCCAAATGTCTCAGAAATACAGAGTATCCAAATTCAAAGTTTTCATGCAGATGTATTTTTAGTGTACTAATCTCAACAGGACTTAAATAGTATCACAGAAACTGTAAGCACAGTAATATAAGTATAAACGTGTTGATCTGGCTGTTGATTTGCTAAATCAATTACTCATTTCCCTTCCATTTCTAACATTATTTTCCAATTAACACAATGAGAGCTAAAAGAAGTTTTATTGCAGGTCAAGAACACTGAGCAAAGCTGGACTACAATTCTTTTTCCCTCAAAGACAGTAACTTGGAACAAGAATGGTTGCATATGTGTATATATTATTTCTACATTATTAGTTAAACTCTACTTGATGTGTAGGTCAGGGATTGTCATGTTTTGACCTATCATCCACTGGGATCTGGTTAAATTCTTGCTGTGAGATGCAAATACCCATGTGTTGTTTTCTGTTTCCTGACACTGACATACATCCAAAAGAGCAAATGCCCATGAAATACTTAGCCTTCGCCTGTAAACAAATGCTGTATTGCCACAGGCATGTGATCATGAGATAAGCTTCTGTGCAGCAGCATGAGAGTAGTTCATCCCATTAAATTCTTTGAAACCATGATTTATTCAAATATGTGGTTTACTCAAATGCCAGAAAACCAGAAAAAACGCCACAGTGATACATAATTGTGATCATAGTGTTTAAAATAATAACATAATCTCTGTCAGAAATGTTGAACCATATTTCATGGCTCATAATGTATGCACCAAATAGCTATACATCAATTTTATTCTGCTAATGAGATTCATTTTAGAGCATCTAAATATAAAATAAAACTAGCATAAGTTATAAATTGTTAGTAAACCCTAAATGATCAAAAAAATACTTACTCATTGCATGCCTGAATGACTATAATCCCTTGCTTTCACTAAGATATTGATCAGACAAAATTTGTGTAAAATTAAATGAGATTTTAGGACTCAGGCAGAATGGTCATTTATTTTTCACAACTGGACAAAACACTGATTTGTAAACTAAGCAACTGCCTCAGGCCCCACAGTTTTAGAATCCCCTATTTGTAAAAGAACTTTACACGGTTAACCACCTGGGTCTCAAGTAGTTTTCATCTACGAGAGTGTTGAAATTTAGTGGTTTTGGCATTTCTTGTGCTTGCTAAGGTCTCTGAGATGCAATAGTCTCCTGCACTCTGATCCTCAATACCCATCAGAGCCTCTGAAAATTAAATTCTTACAGTTTTGTTTATAATGAGTAGTGTATTGTCATATAAATAGCAGAATGAATCTGTGAATTCAACACTGTTTTAATATCTTACTAAGCATACACATTTAGTGAGGGTGTCCTTGATTGTCCTTTAATTAGTGAGCCACTTATCATGAAGGAAGATTAGTGCCTAAGTAGAATCTTGTTTTTATGCTCACCAGTACAGGAGAAATACAGCCAGTCACACAAAAGTCCATCCTATATTCTCTGTATATTACACAATGCCAAACTATCCCTGAATATATATGGAGAAGCAGGAGGTGAGGACCTTTTTTGCTTGTGCTGAATAGCAGTGGATTTTGTTGTACTACCGGTTTCTGAAATCACAGAGGTGTGAAAACCATGGTGGTTTAATTTTTCAGGGATTTTACTCATATTTTCCATTTTAAGTGTCTGGTTTGCAACACTCAGCTGTACCTTATAGTGTTAGATTTGAAATAGCATTCTTATAAGTCCAAGCTGAGATCACATGAAATCATAATCTTGCCTGATAAACATGTAAAGTAAGTAAAAGTGCATGAAGTACCTGCCTTAATTTTAGTGTGGAAATTAATGAATCATAAGATTTACTGGAAGACATTTGCAGTTTTACATCCATAAAGATAGGTGAAACTAATTTTGGTTGATTTTATTTGAAATTTTA